AAAATATTGAAAATAAAAATAAAATTATGTTTAATGTCAAAAGACGAGGGTCTAGACGATGTAATCTTATAGATTAAAGTCACTAAGACAAAGATAGTCTTATTGAAAGTCTCATGTTGATACATTACTAGAAAATTGATCTAGTTATCTAAAGACCAAGTCTTTACCTTGCAAAAAATAATGATGAACAATGGTTCAATTACAAATATTTTTGGATAGTTTGGCAGCATAATGAATTGCAAACATGTAAATATGTAATTCCAAAATAAATAATCATTCAATGATATTATAAGGGTTCTTAGATAATCTAAGTATCGCCTTTAAATGGATTACATTAAAGAAAATATCCAATTGTATTAGAAAAGTACATTGGATATATGAGTCCACTAAGATCATGTATCTTGGAAATCCTCAAACAAAATTGAATAGCTCGATTCATGGTCGAATTTGAATATATAACTTGAGATAAGGTTAGAAAAGAAGTTGAATAAACATCATAAAATTATTGGAGGATGTTCCGTGTTGGACTAAGTCAGTGTCTACAATTATGAATAAATTGTGATAACCAATCGGTTACGTTAAGGGCACAAACGACATGTATAATGGCAAGTATCGACACACTCGTACACATAAGACCATTAGGCAATTGATCTCAAAAGAAATAATATAACATTGATTATGAAAATCAATGGTTAATAGCGGATCCGCGACTAAAAATCAACTAAAGAGATCAAACATATTGCCTGTCTAGGGGAGTGAGATCAAAACCCACAAATTAAGAATTTCTATAGTGGAAACCCAACCATGATGACTGGAGATCCCAAGAACTGGTTCAAAAGGGACAACTAAGTTATGGAAAATTCAGTGATGCACTAAGGAGTATATATTCCTATGGAATTATATATTTCAACTCGTTCCCGTGATAGACATTAGTGCTGCATGGAGAGAGGGTAAAGGATAAGCGAAAGCTTTTAATGATTCCAAAACCTTGACAAAATGTGAGGTACTGGCAGGATACCTTTAATAGGACATCACTTATCTAAGTGTAGAAGTGTGGGCCGCTTCAAAAAGACAAACACTTATGAATCCAAGATGTGCTCCAGGGCCAAAATGGACGCAACCATGAGAACTGATGAAATGTGGGAAAACTATTGTGTGGGATATCATTGTCTTGGTTTACACAAACGGCTGGCAGTTCAAGACATCGCGTTCACTAACTAGCCAAGTAAATCCGATGGTATACTACTAAGGAAGGTTCAAAGCCAAAAGCTACCTATCCCCATTGCAATAGTTTCCACTTGAACTCTCGATAGAATCCATCGTTTTTTGTTAATTTCATTCATGTGGGGGATGTTGGGAATTTTATTTAATAAAATAAAATTATTTTTTGACTGAAAATTAAAAAATATTTTTAGGCACCTATTTGATCAAACATGTGTGACAATATGAAGAGGTGTGGCCACACCTCTTCACTTATTTAATTTCCTAAGGGTTGTGTTCATCATTAATCACAACCATTGGAAACTTATAAATAGAAACTCCACATGTTTGATTTAATAATAACATAAAAAAAAAATCAATTCAATTCCATAATTTTGTTATATGGAATTCTTCTTTCTTTAGCCTGAAAATATTCTTCGTAGAATATTTTCTTCCGTATTCGATTCGAGAGTTTGAGACACAAAGTAACGTTCGTTGTATCTTGGGAGATCATTGTCAAATAATCGTAAGCACCGTAGCGGGACAATATTGTCTTAAGGAAAGAGTATTCTCGCATCGGCTAATCTTTTCGTATTTTTACTAATTAATTTGTTCGATCATTTTACTTAACTCACTACCCGTTTTATATACCGGGAACAACTCGGCTAATCTTTTCGTATTTTCACTAATTAATTTGTTCGATCATTTTACTAAATTCACTACCCGTTTTATATACCGGGAACAACAGTTATAGTAATATTATTGTCAACCACAATAATATTAATTCTTTTGGCTTTTTATTATGTTTACCTTTGTTGAACGATCAACATATTAATATTACTCTATTACACAATAATAATGACTTGTGTTGTGTTAATATTATTGTGCTAGATATTAATATAGCAATATTACTGTGTTAAACTGTAGTATACTTAATTTTACTGTGTTAACAGTAATATAGTTAATATTACTGTCAATCACAGCAATATTACTGTGTTAACAGTAATATAGTTAATATTACTGTCAATCACAGCAATATTGCTGTTTAAACGGGGGGCAAAAGATGTTAAAGAAAAAAGAAAAAAAAAATTGAAAAAAGTCAACTTCGGAGACCGGCATTGATCGTCGGTCAAGCCGGAAACCGGCGACGGAAAAATAAGGAAGAAAAAAATAAAAATTCAACGCCGGAGAACGACGGAAGAACCATGAGGAAAAAAAAAAAGTCAACGCCAGAGACCGCGGTGACGGATGTAAATTGTCCATAAAAATGTGTTTTCAGTCAAAATTGAATAATTTATGTAATTTGGGGTCAAATTGAGGTTATATTATTAAAGAATAAAATTAGAGCATATTAAAGTTTGAGGGGTAATTTTAGTCTTTTACAAACCTCTGGACCATGTGTGGATTTTTTTATAAAAGAGTTTATTGTGTGGACCTCTTTATGAATAAGTACCCATTGATGGCCTATTTGTGAAGTGCCTTTTTTTAAAGCGACCAAATCAAAGTGTATCTGATATTATACTACTGACTCACTTATTCTAGGGAGTTTACTTGGTCCCTCGGTATTTACATTTTTCATATAAAATATGAGATA